GCGTGTGCAAAGAAGCTGCAAGGCAGCTAGGGCATACAGAGGTCAAAAGCTTTACTATTTGAAGTGTCTGAGACGGTATCCCATGAGCACAGATTGTGGGTAGGATTGGTCTAAGGTGTGCTTGTCATGTAATTTTAATGCCTTTCCCTGCAAGGCTGTGACTGGGGGACTGAGGTGTTAAGTTGTAAGCGTGTGCGTGTGCATATGTGTGTGTGTGTGTGAGTTTTTGGCCATCACTTCACATTCAAAGGAGCTCTAATTAGGGGCCAGCCTCAAAACTATATCACAATATTACAAGAAAACGTATTTATTTATGGTTATTTATCTAAAGATGTAGCAAAAAATACTGATCAAAGTTTTATCAATGCTTGCAGACACCAGCATTTGTGTATGTAAGAAATGAAGGGCAATTTTCATCTTCCTTTTCACATGAGCTACTGTCATTGATGGCACGCTTCCTAATTCAAAGTGTGAATCTGTTCAGTCAAGGTACCAGCAGCAGCATTAGTGGTGACACACCATTATATCCAGGTTAAATGTAAGCATAAAAGTAGCTGAATTTATGGGTTTTTCTGGAAATTGTAGCACTTTAGAAAAACAATGACTAAAGTAACTTAACCTTGTGAGTGTTCAGGAGCTATGCAATACAACTGAGAAACATTTTATACCTGGGAATGTTTTATCTTTTTAACCAGCTGCTTGAAGCCCTCCTTTACTACCATGTAGCTTCATCAGTAGCTAGCAATGCTTGGTTGTTTATCTTTGGGTCGCACATCTGCAGCTGCTAGTAGCTCCTCGTCCTTCATAGTGTGGTTCTAATCCACAGTGATTTTTGCCTTGAAACATGTTTGCTTCATGGGAACTGTTTTCTGGGTTCCCACGAAAGATGTTGGTGGTTGTTGAAGCAGCTTCTTTTTTAAGTAGCAAATTGTCATCTGAGGCTGACATGTGGTTGTTCTGCACACTTTTCCATCATGTCTGAAATTATTAGGGGTTGTTATCGTGGATGATATGATGAGCTCTAAGCACCATTGCTGGTGACGGAGTGTGTTGATGTTTTTGCTGACAGTGATGCAGAGAAGTTAAAAGGTAGAAAATGTTTTGAAACAATTACTTTAATTATAGCTCTCATGTTTTTGGGAGTGCTGTGTTTTGGCAAAGAAAAAGATGGTGATAACTTGATTGTAGTCACGGAGAAACTTAAAAGAAGAGTAAGATTTTACCATTATTCTTCAAAATAGTATATGTGTGTGTGTGTGCGCTCGCATCAGTACAAGTGCTTGATGAGCGTAAGAAGACCTGTCTGCCTCCTTGACAGGAAGGTCATTTGGCAAGAATATAAGTGAAAGAAGGCAAAAGGAAAGTGCACTGAGGGAAAATAGTCAGGACACAAGCTGGGAGAATGAAGGTATTACCAAATGAAATAAAGGCTGAGATGAAAGTGGAAGTTAAGCACAGGTGTGGAGCAAAAGTTGAACAATGATGGAATGATTAGGCTTTTACTGCGTAATCAGCCTGTCCTTTTATGCAAGTTCTAAAAAAAAAGGTTTCTACCAAAAAATGAGAGGAAAATATATTTTCTGCGAAGGGTACGTTTGTGCTTATTAGACTTTCGTCCACTTCGTGCTGGACAATCCTGTTAATCTATGCTGACTCCTACCATAGGAACAACACATCAGACATCTTTGTCTTTGCTTAATTGGAGTGTTGAGTTAATGCATTTTTGACTTTTTCTTCTTTACTGTTCGATATTTCAAAACAAGCAGAAGGCCCCTGCAGGTTTTATTTAATGACCATAAACAGAATGAGGCTTCATTCAGCTCCCAAAGCACCGTTGCTTACTTGAAATAAACATAATTCTGTTTTGAATTAAATTTCATGGGCCCATTCAATTCTATTACCGGTGATCGGAGCTGATGCTGTCGCTATCATGAGCTCAAACTTGCCAACTCTTCTCAGCAGAAATTTCTTCACTGAGTGCTGCCATGTTGATTTATAGTGGATCGCGTTACTAAATGTCGGAGAACCTGGAGCTCAGTGATGAATTATAACTTTCAATTTATTTTTCTCCAGTTCCCAGGTGAACATGCACTGGCAACAGGCACAGCAGAAACATTCTTGAACCTTAAGAAATAACATACAATACTAATACATTTTATGTGCACTCGCTATTTTTTTTAAGTTAATTCTAAAGATATTCGATCAAATTTACAACTCACCATCTTTTAATTAAAATTGTCATTTCAGGAATGTCCCATGATGAAATAACAAAATATGTGGCCACACTTTGAACTCTTTGAGGCTCTATTTAGTCATAACACTGGTTTAAGCTTAAAGATGCCAAGATTTTAGTTTGGAGTGACCAGAAGGGACAGGATTAGAGATGAGTACATCATAGGGACAGCTCAGGCGGAGCAGTTTGAAGACAAAGTAAGCGAGGCAAGATGGTTTGGACATGTGCAGGGGAGGGGTAGTGGATATATTGGACAAAGGATGTTAAATATGGAGCTTCCAGGCAGGAGGGAAAGAGAAAGACTTCAGAGAAAGTTTATGGATGAAGTGAGAGGGGACATGTAGAGAGTTGGTTTGACAGAAGAGGATGCTAGGGATGGGGTGAGGCAGATGAACCGCTGTGACGACCGGCTGATGGAAAACAACCAGTTTAAAATAAATACTACTAAGGCACTTGTCAGTGTTGGTAAAGATGCTAACAGGCTGAAGAGTATCATTACTTTTGCAGGTATGCTGCTATAAACCAATATATGTTGGCAGAAGTTACATTTTGTTTTGATGATCACCCTGGTAGAACAAAATTTGGTACGTATCCTTTATATAGATACTGAGATATATCTTTGAATATGGGGCACAGCCAAGTCTTTGGTCATTACCCTCTTGAATGCATGCACTAAATGTAATGGCAAATAATCTAATAATTGCTGAGATATTTCACCCTCTACTCACAAACATCAGATGGAGCTGTATTCACATCTGACAGACAGATCAACATTACCAACCTCTGAACAACAGCTTAAAAAAGGAATAGCAAGCGCGCATCGCTGTCGGTACACCTCTGCATGTGCAGGTGTATAATATGCTGCATGTATGTGAGTGTGTCTGAGTCGTTATGTCCCTATTCAAGCGTGCTTTGGGCAGTGACTTAGGGCTTGAAAGTAGAGCAAAGTGGACCATGAAAAAGTTATACGATCAGCCGCATTCTCCCTCCCTCTTCAGGCAGCTCTCTGAGCCGTGAAAGGGAGAAGAAAAAACATAGGCTGTTGTAAATGAGAAATGCTTGTTTTTTTGCGACGGCAGTGCTGATCTCAGCAGCACTCATTGCGGAATGTGTAAAGAATAGCTCTGGTTTGTTTAGCTAGCTGAAAGTATCACGTTGAATAATCGCACCCTGTCCAGCAGACACAATGTGCTATTGATTTGTAGTACGTATATCTACATATAAATACAATTTCCAAGTAACACTCAGTATGGTAGAACATAGAGCACCTTTGCAGATGTTCACTGTATCTGCTAGATTATTTCCTTTTTGAAAGACATCCACTGCCCGCTACTTATTACCCAAGGCTGCAGTGTGCAATTATTCTGGGTATTGAGGCAAATCTAGTATAAACCCAACCCAACTTTGTTTGGTGTAGAAAAACATCTCTAGGCATTTCAGAGTGACACTGGCAGAATG